TCCCTTCATCATTCACATCTGCTCTGCTCTGCTCTGCTTTCTCTTCCTACCTGATCGCAGTCGTTCAAGGCCTCATAAAAATCATCGGGGATCTGCAACAAAGTATCACATTGATGTCCTCTCCTCCTCCTCCTCCTTGTCCTCGTCACCCCCCCCTCCACCCTACCCCCTCCTCTCCCCCCTCCGCCACTGCCCTCCCACTTCGTCCTCTTCCTCCTCCTCCTCACCCCCTCATCAATCTCGTTCTGGTGCAGCCCGACATTGTTCTCGTCGTATTCGGTAGCGTCATCCAAAGGGACAACTGCAGCACAGTGAGAGGGCGCAGGGACATTCTATGTAGCAACACACATCCTTCCTCCTCCTCCTCCTCCTCCAGCATCGTCATGCGCAGCTTTCCTTGCCTCGCTGCTCTCTGCATCAAGACCGCTGGTCTTGCCTGCTTGACAGACTGGAACAGAAAGTTAAGAAGACAAGCAAGAGGGAGCATATGTCAAGGAGGAACACAACAGCGGAGCATGTACTCACAGCCGATCCGCTGAGAGCAAGGAGCAGGGCCACAACTGCGAACAGTGAACCGAGCACGAGGACGGCCCTCGAGCTCCTCTCGAGCGACATCTGTCGCCAGATGTCAGCACTTCGCACCCTCCTCCCTCTCTCATTCATCCCCTCATCCGCTCTCCCTGCCCCGTTCACACAGCAGCATTATCGCCTCTCCATCTCGCTCCAGCCCACGTCTCCTCTTTGCACTCATTCCAATCTTCTATCTTCCTTCTTATCTGTTGCAGTATAGGCTAGATACACTCATTCCAATCTTCTATCTTCCTTCTTATCTGTTGCAACATAGGCTAGATCACCTCAAGCTTTGTACCTGATCCTCTTCGAGTTTGTCTCACCGACCTGCCTCATCCTCGACCATTCCCATGCGGACAAACAAAAATCCATCTTCAATCATGAATTCCTCACCTATCATCTTTCTCCTCCCCCAAATCATACCACTATCCTCACCATCTACACATTGGTTCCATCTTCTCTCATCATCTGCTACTTCTCTCCCTCTTCGCCATCACATCATTTCCTCCCTTCCCCTCTCCCCCCTTGTCACTGCCGTACCAAGTTCATTGTCGGCGCCTCTTCGTTAGGTAACGCTCTGTAACCGTTTTTTTTGCAGTCCGATCGGCCGGCCCGGCGGCCGGCCCCGGGCCGCCCGGCGCTCAGTCCCGGACCCAGTCATGCCGCCGCATCGTGGCACTGATCACTAAGACTCTGCCGGGCCGGGTCCGATCGGACTCGGGACGGCCGCCCAGTGACTCACTACCTCCCAATACGGCAGGGATAATCCAGATTCCCGGCCGCGGGCGGGGCCGGCCGGCCCGGGCTGCCCGGCGGCTGTGACGGACGCCGGTGACTCCGATGGGACTCAACTTAGGCTCGCTTCCAGCGAATCATGATCACACCACTGCCACTGCTCGGTGCCGACGACACTACCGCGGGCCCGGCGGCACCGTGTGCAGTGCTCAGTGCTCAGCGAGTCAGGCTCCGGGAGTGCTTGCCGCCGCCGCGGCTGAGTGCAGTTTGTTCCAAGCCAGTTTGTTCCAAGCCAGGGCCATCATTGTCACTGAAACTTGCAACTTGAAACCGTGTGACACTGCAAGGTCCGATCCGACGGGCCCTTACTGGCGGCCCGGCCGGGCCCGGGCCCGGTGACTCAGACCCGGGCCCGCCGGGTTTAGGCAACAGTTACTTCAGTAGCAGGTTACGAGCCTCTCAGTTTTACTCAACCATTTTTCCTATTTCGGGATGCCTCTGTGAAAGGGGGTAGTAGGACCCCACACAAATACCACCCCACCCCATGAGAACAAGGAGAGTTGAACTCATTTCGCCGAAAAGAGTACCGATCGCTCCAGACCACAAGGGGTCATGGGTACTGGTACTATCCCGGAGAAACCAGTCGGAAATGACAGGGTAGGGGTGTTGACCAAAGGAATGTGCAAGGGTAGTTGAAGGTAGCTGGGTGGCTCTAAATTAATCATGGTACCCGGGTAGGGTAGGGATAGGTGGGGTGGGGGTCTATATGAAGCAGCGGCGGAGGACGTTCTGCACACGAAGGTGAGACGATGCCTGTGCGCATGCGACATGTTGAAGGCGGAGGATGGGGAGGGATGGCGATCGAGAGGAGGGAGGGAGAGAAAGAAGACAGGTGCTGAGAGAGAGGAAGATCAAGGTGCTTTGGAAGGAGATTCGGGAGGGAGAAGCTCAGGAAAGGAAGAGAAGATGATTGATGGGTTGTTTGATCATGAAGGACCATTGCGGCTCAAATGGTTTCATAGTTTCTCATGTTTCTTTTCCAGATGTTCCAGACCCTCTACGGACAGACTGCTGCTGCTCTCTACGCCAAGGCCGCCGGCCAGAACGCCCAGGCCCGCCAGCTCTACAACGCCTCCGCTGACACCTACTACAAGGCCAACGATGCTGCTGCCTACGACGACTGGGTCCGCGCCCGCAACCACTGGGACTACTTCTACAACCGCTCGTAAGCGATGAGAAGAGCCGATGAATAAAACTCTCTGTATTCTTTCATGCTCTTTGGCCTATTCACCCGCACTGCATTGTAGTACATACTGCATAGCATTTTTGCAAGATGCCTCTGATTGGCCGTTCTTACGCTAACATGACATAGACTCAGCGAACGTGGGGCTTTTCCTTCATCAGTGACGAAAATGTTAGGCTTGATCTTGATCAAATCAACAAGTCCGTTTCATCGTGGTCGTCCCGGTTTGTACCAGTCAGGTGTGTCGACAGGTTTCACCTGAAACGGTAGTAGGTGGCTACTGCCATTGCACCCGACAGCATGTACCTGACGAGGCGAGTGAGGGAGCAAGACAATCATTGTTGCCTCTCACCAAGTGGCAGCGTAGGAGAGATGCGTAGCAGGAGTGACGTAGAAGTTGATCAGGTCGCCCTCCTGCTCTGTGTCACAACACAAGGACGGATAACAGGCGCCCCCACCTTCTTGGGTCGAGGAAACTTCCCTCCTTCAACAGGATCTGCAGCAGCCAGTCAGCAGACACTCTTCTGCCTTCCCCTGCACTCCTCTGCATGCTCGCTTTGTCGTTTTCCATCTATGCTCTTCCCCTCCCTCTCCTCTCTCTCCATTTTCCCATCCTCCTGCTCCCTTCCCTGTCTCTTTCTCCCTTCTTCCTCCTACCATCTGCTCTGCCTCCTCCTTCCCTTCCTCCCCTTCCCCTCACTCCCTATCTTCTCCTCTCTACTCACTGATGAGCTCCGCGAAGGGAGCGACTTCCGGCAGCTGAGCGAAGTCGGACATGGCCGCTAGATCCACACTATGACGATGATGAGCAAAAGGAAGGAGAAGCGGAAGTGAGGAGAGGAAGTGGGATGAGACAATATTGGGGGAGGAGGATGGAAGTGGAGGAGAGGGAGAGGAGGAGGACAAGGTAGGAATTGTGATGGTTCAGCTGTTCACCTGAACCAGCTGTTCTGCTCTGGATCGTTCTTAGGGGCGAGACTTCCAGCCTGAGAAGAACCATGGTTGCGTTAGGAGAGGAGAGGAGAGGAGAGGAGAGGAGAGGAGAGGAGAGGAGAGAAGGGTATGAGTTGAAAGAGAGGAGCGGAGAGGAGACGAGACGAGAGGAGACGAGACGAGAGGAGACGAGAGAAGAGGAGACGAGAGAAGAGGAGACGAGAGAAGAGGAGACGAAAGGAGAGGAGATGAGAGGAGACGAGAGGAGACGAGAGGAGACGAGAGGAGACGAGAGGAGGGGAAGGGAGAAAGAGGAGAGGAAAGAAATTGTGTGCTGGTTCACCTTGGGCTGAGGAGTAAGGACGAGGGTGATTTCTTCATCCCCTGCAGGGCAATAGACGTGAGAAGAAGATCGGGAGAAAAGGAAGGAGAACAGCACGCGAGGTGAGAGGAGAGAGGGGCAAGGAGTCAAGGGGAAGGAGAGAGAGGAGGTGGAAAGGAGGAGGGAGACGAGGTCAACTGAGAGGAGACCTTGACTGATGGGATAGTCCTTTCTCATCCTCCTCGGGATCCAACCGCGACTTACGAGGATCCACTGCCCGCTGTCAGTCAGCTAGTCAGTGGATGAGGAGGAGAGGAGGAGGCAGAGGAGGAGGCAGAGGAGGACTGAGACAAGATCGAGAAGGAAGATGAAGGTGCGGCAGAAGGGAAAGATGGAGGAGGAAGGAA